CCCAGTCTGGCTTTGCGTGTAGGTTCCTATTCACGAAAGTGTGTACGTGCGTTTGAACCGGCGACCGTCTCGTGTATGCATTAGCTCATAATGACCTGTTTTGCGGTCCGGTTCAATGCATGTGGAGAGAACACGTCTTTCAAACAGAACCGTGGGCGTCGGAGGCGGTAGTTCATAAAGTGCGGCTTTGCGAACCGCATTGGATCGCGTGCGGTATCGGAACGGACACGGGGCACTCGCACAAAGAGTTCTGCGATGGAAGTGCGGGAGACAAAGTATAAATGTCATTTGTTCGTCAAATGACACAAGGATTATTGGCAATTAATGACGTTAATAGTTTCTGTGATGTGGAATCAACTTGTCGAAAGCACGCGTTCCTCTATGAGAGGTATTCAGGGCATGAAGAGAAGAATCAATGTACATTCAAAGGCATTTGAGCGTTGAGGTACTGTTTTGAGAATTGTAAAAGGCAATTTGAGCAAGTTAAATTGGAAACAGTTTTACATTCTCTTTGAAGTTTACTTAGTCAGTTTTTTGTTTCAAGCTACCTCATTATTGCTAGGTTCTTACTAGATATTTGAAAATTTTGTCAGCGAACTGATATATCCTTCTGTAAAACAAATATGGTTGCTCTATATGTATTTTGACAACAATGGTTCCATCTGCAGCAAAATATGAAGAAATTTACTGGGATTAAAATACTCGAAAAAGATCAAAAGTGTTTCAAAAGAAACATCATAATTACCTTCTCAATACTTACACTTACAATAACTTGAATACAATCAATTCGCTTTCACATCGAACACTATAATGACGTATATCCCGGTTAATATAAAATTAAAATATGTTAATTGATCAATTTTATTGATATTATATTAAAGCAGAGAAACGAATTATGGAAACACCATGTCGAACAGGAATAAGTTGTGTGAAAAGAAAGTTGCGGGTAGAGAGGCGTTCTGTTCAGTGGCATGTTGCGGATTTGGTGACGACAGAAGGGCTATTGGGACTCGCGTTGATTATCATTCAACTGAGCACACAATCCTGTTTTCCAATGTAGTGTAATTAAAAAATTCAAATCGTGCGCACACGCTTCAAATTAATGACGCGTGTGTTTGCCCGCGGACGCTGCAACGGGCGGTGTGGTAATGGTTTCCTCTTTTTTATTATCGTTGGCGGCAAATAGGAGGATTGCAACCGTAACTGTAATAGAACGAGTTGTGATATGAATTGGCCAATACAAATGCCCATGTTAATCTTCTGAAACTTTAAAAAAGTATAATTTTATTCCTGAGAATGATACGAACTTGTTATCGTTAGAAGATGTCGTTAATCATTATTCTCGCACACAGGTTTTACAGATTACATTTTTAAAGGCTTGAGTTTAAATATATATCGTAAATATTTACTTTTTATAAAGTTATGTGTAAAATTGAAATATTGTTTTTTTCTTCATCTTACTAAATTCATCCACTACACGTTTATTGTAGATAAAACCATGTCTGTATTGTACATCACCGATAAGCTGCTAAGTTGCAAAGCGTTTTCCTCTAATATCCCGTTAGTTCAACGTCAGCCATCTGTTACACTACCTCGTATCGCTGATGTAATGCAGTATTTGGCCAAAAAAGAGAGATTGTTAGGAAAATTGGACAGAAAAGGGAAGAATTATTATAGACACACCACCATTATTTCATAAAATGACTATTCATAATAAACATTATTTTTGGCAAACAGTGAATGTCGAGAATATTTAAATATAGCAGTGAAAATTAGTTATTCTTGGAATATAGTTAAAATAAATTGCGTAAATCCTTGTTCAAATTGACACACAAAAAGTTCTGTTTCATTTATTCTTTGTATGACCTCTTTACGACTCATTTTTGGAAACCACTTCCGAATATTACGTTAAAAACAACAAAGGTATTTACACTTTCACACACCACACATCTAGATTTTGGTTTTTAATTTTTTTGACTTGAATGGAAGCTGAAATGGAGAAAGCAAATTAGCAGCATACTTTAACCATTTTGTTCGAATATCATTCCACCATTTTGTTCATTATTATTCATCCCGCTTTCTCTCCTCTATAAGCGTTAAGTAGCATTATCCTATCTAAAGCATTCTTATTCCGTCTAAAAGATGCGTTTCAATATTTTACATTTTTGGAACCCACTCTGACGCTAATTACAGGGCCACAACTGTACCCGTGTGAGGATGGAAATGCTTCCTCTTCTTAGTGTTATTACAGAAAACAATAAATCATATCGTTTGAAAGAAAGCGCGTGCCATCATTTAAAGATTTAAAATTCAAAGATAACCAGACATCTCAATTTCCGGGTACAAAATTGTATGAGTCTCCACTTCACCCGCACAAATATTAACCATCACGTGTGTGCAGTTCAAAAGAACCAAAATCAGGGACGACAGACATTTCGAAAATGTCTTGTTGAGATGATTCCGTTACTTTTACTCCCTTCACTATAGCAAACGGTGAAAAGTTGAAAAGTGGAGCGAGCCGTTGGCGCGTTGGCCCCGAGCGCCAGCGTCCGCTGCGTGCCGGCGCACCCGGAAGCGCCGGCAGGGAAGGGGCGGGGAGGTTGGCAGCGCTGGCGCGCGCGGTGACGTATGGGCCGCCGCCGCCGCCCCTGGACGGCGCGCCGCCGGCCGCAGTAAATATTAATAAAAGCCGATCGCAAAATGCACCGGCCGCGCCGGGGGCATGTATCATTGCATCAGGAAAATTTGCCTCCGACTATATCTTCCGCTGGAAATCGACATGTAGCGTGGTTCCGAGTACCTCGTTCTGGTTGCGTGTTCTTCTGCTGCGTCTTGGCACCATGAAAGAATTGGGTGCTGGTAAAGAAATCTTGGCCAACCGTTTTTGCTTTAGCGCATACACTGTGGGTTGAATGTTGAACTAGTCATTTAAATAATACGGAGAAAAAGTGTTCATTGTTGTTGTTTCTGCTGTATTTATGAATATTTAGATCTTCAAAGTATAGTTTTTATAATGTAGCATTGTGTTAGATGTTTTACGTGTATACCTTCCTGTTTTTGAAACTATTTATTAACGAATGTTATTTATAGTTTTCGTGTGCACTGTAGTATACGAATCAAGTTCATAAATCACTTTTTAGCATACAGTATTCTGCACATTACTTAATTTATCTTTTTGAGTGAGAATATTGACAAAAATGTTCTGATGATTTATTTTTATCATTTATTTTCGTGCTTCGTATATTCCATGAAATGTTTGGACGTAAAGTTTTTGATACGTAAATAAAAATATAAATAATGTACAATTTCATAATACATTATATGTGTAATGAGTCAATGATTTTATATCATTTGAAGTGATTTTTTCTGCAATGTCTTTACTACTTTCGCAACATGTTGGGTTTTTAATCATCAGACATCTGTTAGAAGTTCTTTGCACTCTAGTTTCCCCCCTTAGTGTTTGTCTTCTTTATGTTATATTTTTGTTTTCAATCAATATACAAGTCGGTTGTTTTTGTCCTTTGTTCACTAACGAATCTATATCTATTTTGGACTCGAAAATATTTTTTGACATTCTGTCCCTTCATGTTAAATAAAAAAAGGCGTCTCTTTTAGTTTTTTATTTATTATCGGACCATGTTTATTCTCGTACATCTTTTCAAACATATGGTAACTGTGCAAATTCTGGGATTTGCTACTCTTTGTCACCTTTAATCCTCCAAAAAGCCCGGCCGTCGCTTGCGGGAGCCCCCGGCGTTTCGTGGACGCAACCCGCGCTGCAGAGCCGCGCTGCGGGAAGCGTCGCGCCCGCAGACACTGGCGCTGTGCGCGGCGCCGGGCCACGCGCGACGCCCTCGGGACGCCGTCGCATCCGCTATTCCTTCCGCTGCGTAATGCACTGCTTCCCCGCGTTGTATCCGAGAGTGCGCTGTGGTCGCGAACGCACTTCCATCGTGGCAGACCGTCGCCCGCTTTTAATTAGGCAAATCCGCCTATTCCACTACTTGCTCCACCTGTCCGATCATGATGTGACACGTGAACTATTTCCAGCGACAGATATTGCATGCTCGCCAGAATATTGTTCTGAAAATAAAGATTCTGTATTGCATTACATTAAATGGCAATGCTTTCCGTGAACGAAATGTCAACGATTGTCGTGTTTCTTCGAAGTGTGTTATTGGGTGTATCTAGGTAAAATATTAGTAGTATGAAAGAAAATACTTCTACCTTATACACTCTAAGACCTCAATATTCTTCGTCTTAGGGGTTGACATATAAAATTCTGTCAATCATGAACTTCCATCATGAACTTTTTCATGAACTTGAAATATTCAATCATGAACTTTAACTATAGAAAAATTTCTTTTTGTAGTCTAACGGAAAAGAGAAACGTTTAGTTCCGATTAGAAATAGAATGAGACGTATGCCAAAATGGGCAAGTATAAATAACTGCGGTGGGCAAGTAAGGAGAAGTAGAGGAAGAGTATGCGAATGATTGAACGGTTTCACTTCCAAGACATTATTCTCTGAGGCAGGCCCTGCGCTGCCCCAAAATAACCCGGGGCGTCTCCCGGGCGCAGTCGCAGCTGCCGGAAGGCGAGCGCGGGCGCCACGGAACAAACAACGCGCCGGAGGAGAGCCCGAGAAGCAGCGCACTTCCGCCCGCGCTGCGCCCCAGCGAGCGGCGGCCGCACGCGAAGCCTTCGTTAGGCGCCCAAAGCGCCCGGGCGGCTACTCCGTCGCCCCCCCCCGCTCGCGCTGTGGTACAGATCGCCGTTATCTGCGCGTCTTCGCTTGTGCAACGCCACCTGCCGTGGATTATCTGTCCGCCGGCATTCATCGTTTGTTATCTGCACCTCAACTGTTCTCCATCATCTGTCCACCCTCACTTGTCCGCCTTAGACTGTCCGTCTTCGCCTCTTCGCCTTCGCTTATCTTCCCTCGCCTATCACCCCTCACCTGGTCTACCCTCACCTCACACTCCCTGATCACCTTCACCTCACACTCCCTGATCACCTTCACCTGTCTACCGTCGCCTGATCTCCCTACCCCTTCCACCCTCGCCTGTTCTCCCTCGCCGGTCTTCCCTCACCGGCCCTCTCTCGCTTGCCCTCCTTCGCTATTCCTCCCTCACGTGTCCTCCAGCATCCTCTCGCCTTACCACTTTCACCTATCCACGCTCAACAGCCTGACCACCCTCGTCTGGCCATCGTCTCCTGTTCCTGGCCAGTTCACTCTCACGTTGCTATTCTCATCCGGCCACTTTCACCTGATCACTCGCATTTTGATGAACCTCTCCTAGGCGGCCGTTTGCTCTCTCCAGCCCGCCCTCTTTTTTCCTCAATGATTCGCTTGCACACATGCGACTCTCTCTCTCTCTCTGTCTCTCTCTCTGTCTCTCTCTCTGTCTCTCTCTGTCTCTCTCTGTCTCTCTCTGTCTCTCTCTCTCTCTCTCTCTCTCTCTCGTGCGCGCGCTCTCTTTCTTTCTCACTTGCTCTCGCTCTCTGTCGACACGCCGTTTCAAGCCGTGCATATGGTTCGCGCCGAGTGGATGCTTCCGATAACCCGATGATTCACCGCCGCCTGTCCTCACCTTTCCGGTGGCAATCAGGCGGGCTAATAATGGCGGCGGGGGCGGGCCGATTTTCCACGCGCGACCCGGCCAGGCGGGCGCGCGCCCCGCTGCGCGACGCTTCGCGGGGCTTCTGGTGCCGCGCGGCGAGCGAGCTCGTAAATGGCCTTCACGTGATCCGGATCTCGGTGATAAGGATCGCTGGCTAGGCATAATTTTCGCGTAATCCCTCCGCTTAGCCTGACACTTTTCGGGTCTGAGATACTAAAATAGGCGCACAGGAGCAAAGGTATGATGGAAAGTGTATCTTAATAGTTCAAAAATAAATGTGAGATATTCTGGTTTAGTAATAGTTTACTTATTGAACAGTGAATTTTCTTAACACAGAATTGTCAGAATTTACTGGAAGACGTCAAATATGTTCTGCTTCTAACTGAAGGATGTTAAATCGATTACAGAACTCTAATTATATTTGTAAAAGTAAATACCTAGCTGTCTTGGAGGGAGCCGCCTAGTCTCGTGGCGCCAAGGGTTCGGCCGCCATTCTGCAATTTCTTAGAGCGAAATTCTCATACTCTCCGACTCGAGGACAGCTAAGTATTTACTGAACCTTGTCAGGAAAGTCTACACTCTCATATCTGTAAAACTTTTGCATTCCAAGATTCGTTTCATTTGTAATTAGAATTACCGCATAAAATTCAGGTTTAAGAGAAATTACTACTTGTGTTAATTTCTAAAGTAAAATAAATTTGTTATAAAATCCTCGCAATATTATTCTCGATATTTTACTAGTATTTGCTCGTGTTTTGTTTCTTTGTAATTTCGTTGCTTCACTGCACTTTCCTTTGTTTTCTGAATAACTATATTTGTCTCGGTTCCAGTATTAAAAAATACAACTGTGATTCTCTCTCTCTCTCTCTTTCTCTCTCTCTCTTTCTCTCTCTCTTTCTCTCTCTTCCCTCTCTTCTCTCTTCTTTCTTCTCTCTCTTTTCCCTCTCTTCTTTCCCTTCCCTCTCTTCCCTCTCTTCTCTCTCTTCTCTCTCTTCTCTCTTTTCTCTCTTCTCTCTCTTCTGTCTGTCTGTCTGTCTGTCTCTCTCTCTCTCTCTCTCAAATACATTGTATTTCTACCTAAATTTAATATTTTCTTTCTGTTGTACTTAAGCGGTGAATATTTTAAAATTCGAGAATTTACATTAATTCACTAAAAATCCGGCTTGCTCTGTTCAAATGTATTAAACAAAGCGCGTTTGTGAAAGTACAAAACATTGAATGCTGATTACATTTTTTGTAATGAAAAAAAACTTTAATTATTGCATATCTTATGTCGAATAACTGAATTAAACTGGCAGAAATCATTGGGTATGATTCTCCATATACGTTCTAACAAGTATAATGGAAGATAATGAACTAACCAGTTTTGCATTTCACTCGTATGAATCGACTGGGTATTGGCTCATTTCAGTTTTAATTCACATAATTTGATTGGATTACATTGAATTCAACCGTTTTTAAATCAACGTATTGAATTGTCTTCCTCCTCTTGCTTCATTTCTCCGAACTGCATTGTGTGCTTTTCGTGACAAAGATCTCTGGCTCTTAATTTATTCGAGTTTTGTGAATTGGGTTTCATACATTCAGTTTAACTTTCTTTGATTTACCGGAGTGTTCTACTGCTGAGAGAGTTTCTGAAAAAAAGATAATTAAATTCAGAGGTTAACGGATTCTTCTTTAAAAAAAACATTCGTACTTTTTCTAATAAAGATATCAGTCACCATTTCTTTAAATTGTGAATATTGTTACGGAATCCAAGAATTATCAAATAATCTATGGAATCAGTCATCGCGTTTCTTCGAGTACAAATTTCAGAAAAACGGTAACTGAAACCATTCATAATTACATCTTACGACCCTCTTTTTACGCTTTTCTACTGATCAGCTGTTTTGTGATCTCGACGTAGTCGGTCTTTTATGTTAAGAATGTACAATTATAAATACGTATTGGCATCAAATATCCATAAATGGTACTGTTTTATTTAACTATGTTCAACATTTGGAGCCCCTTAATTATGGAATACTTTAAGGAGTGGTTTAAGAAATAGTCGAAATGAGATAAATTTCCTGTTATATTTGATGCAATCAATGATTTCGTGCCGTCTTACGCGCTTTACGAAATATTTCTAAATGGCGTTTTATATCTCTAAGACCCCTTTCACATCCCAATTCATCATCATCAAATGAGTCTTTCTCTTCCATTCAACTCTATCGTGTGTTCCGTGTCCTTCTTCGGCATCCACTTCTAGTTTTAATGGTAATTTTATTCGATGTGAAATAAAACAGATCT